GTTAACTGTGCTGGATGGGGTTGCGTATTGACTAGAATCTTTTATTCCAACGGAAAGGAACCAATAAATCACGCGGTCACTGAAGGTGACAGATGATATAGAGGGGAAAATCACTTTCACAAAAAAGATTAGCTTTGAAACAAATCAAAGGATGCTGTAGGCCACGGTAGAAGTAAAGGAGGTACAAACTGCTTTTGTACGCACAACTCCGGTTTGAGGTGGCGGATATATGTAGCATCCACAGTAGATGGGAGATGCTTCTGGAATCCGCGCGAGAAACGCTCATGAATAGTGTAGATGACGCTGAAATCGTTTTCCGTTCCTGCGTTACCGCATTCTGAGGTGCGACGAGATGGATATATTACGAGACCTCGCTTCGCCTTTGTCAAACCACTTCGGAAGGTGTTTGCGAATCCTATGAAACAGGCGCCTCTTAGTACGACCCACGTATCATGCACCACAGGAGCACGAGTGCTGATAAGCAAGCGTTGATCGAATCAACGGAGGCAGCCTATCTTTCAAAGGCTTAGTGAGTAAAGACTTGTTCTAGTATAGTATGCGTAGACGAGCTGCGAAATAGGTCTCTTCAACAGTGTCTTTCAGGCGTTTGGGCAGGGCATCAGCCGCACTGCCGCCTTTGTAAGGAAAGTGTGTAATGAGTTCCTTCTTGGGTACACTCATCCTCGGTGGTGGTATCTTGCATTCTCTCAAATGTTTGAGGATGAATTTACCTGGACACCAATTCGTTCTTAGAGCGTCATTGATTATCTGCAATTCCTTGGGGATGGTGTCCGGTGTGCAAATTCAGTGTACCCGAAAGGAAGGGTGCGGTCTCCATTTCGTTTGTACTGTAGTGGTACCGCACTGTAGAAGTTGGTGTAATGTCTAGTCCAAGTTGGTTTCCTATACACTGTTCTGCTGCACGACCCATTCGTGTTTCTGATGATATCAACGTCCAGGAACGCTAGTCGGTTTCCGGACTCGTGCTCACAGGTGAATTGTAGATTCTGATGCGCCTCATTAAAGGCTTTCAATAGCTTCACAGTTTGCACTTTCGGTTGGCAGAGTACAAATGTGTCCTCCGTAGAACCTATGTACATCTCGATTCCATTGATGTGCGCTCTCAGTGAGCTCTACTCAAATTTTGCCATAAAGACATCCGCTAGTGGAGGTCCCAATGGTGGCTCCATTGCAGCTGCAGCTATTTGACGATGCATCTCTCCGTTGAAAAGGAACTGCACGTTTAGGGTACATCTGACTAACACATTTCAGAAAGTTTTCCGGGAGATTTACGGGAATGTTCAGTTGTCGTAATGGTTCGCAAACATATTCCACTGTTTCCAATAACGGAATATTCGTAAACAACGACTGAGAGTCAAATGAAGACATCCATTTGTTGTAAAGGTGCACCTTCCTTATCTTCTCAATGAACTCGAAAGTGTCTTTCACGAAGTAGGTGCAGATGGATTTACGCAGTGATTCCAGTTTCTCAACCATCCATTGAGCTATCAAATGTTGCGGAGAATTAACCATGTCCAATATCTGACACAACGGAGCGCCTTCCTTGTGAACTTTAAGGATGCCGAACAATGGCGATTGGATAATACGGAAAAGCGAATCAAGGAATATCTATCGAATTTGCTCAGTAACCGAAAAGACCGAACTAATTTGAGTGCCATAACATCCCCCTGATCAGTACAGGGTACCATGTTGACAATCATAATGAGTTCGAAATATTATACAAAGTACCATCCCACTTGAACCATCAGCAAGCAGCAAGGTTACTAGCTACGGCTGAAGCGGTCAGAATAAGATTGACAAGACCAAGCCTCTGCATCCAAAAAAACTCGTTCAAGCTTTACAAATCCCTTGGGCAAGAGCTTTAAGGGAAGAAGCAGATTTGGTCGAACAACGTCACGTACCCTCTAGTACCTGATTTCCCGACGTACATCATGAAGGATTGTTGATTTTATCTAGTCAATGATTTACTTCTGTGCTGTTCTCAAGGATTTGCTCTTCTTAAAGTATAATTCTGTAATAAACCTGATGATAAAGAAATCGAAAACAATGGTTTGCCTTACGCGTTCCACATGCGTTCTTCTCGAATCTGGTAAATAAGGCGGGTATTTTACAAGAAATTAATACAGAAAAGTTAAAACACCATTGATCAATTCCCTCCGAGGAATGATGCAAGCGAATCTTATCACAAGATGCAGTTTCGAAAAGCTGAGATCTTCAACCGCACAACTACCGCGATTGTAAAGCCTTCATAAAGTTCACAAGGAAGGCGCTCCGTTGTGTCAGATATTGGACATGGTTAGTTCTCCGCAACATTTGATAGCTCAATGGATGGTTGAGAAACTGGAATCACTGCGTAAATCCATCTGCACCTACTTCGTGAAAGACACTTTCGAGTTCATTGAGAAGATAAGGAAGGTGCACCTTTACAACAAATGGATGTCTTCATTTGACTCTCAGTCGTTGTTTACGAATATTCCGTTATTGGAAACAGTGGAATATGTTTGCGAACCATTACGACAACTGAACATTCCCGTAAATCTCCCGGAAAACTTTCTGAAATGTGTTAGTCAGATGTACCCTAAACGTGCAGTTCCTTTTCAACGGAGAGATGCATCGTCAAATAGCTGCAGCTGCAATGGAGCCACCATTGGGACCTCCACTAGCGGATGTCTTTATGGCAAAATTTGAGTAGAGCTCACTGAGAGCGCACATCAATGGAATCGAGATGTACATAGGTTCTACGGAGGACACATTTGTACTCTGCCAACCGAAAGTGCAAACTGTGAAGCTATTGAAAGCCTTTAATGAGGCGCATCAGAATCTACAATTCACCTGTGAGCACGAGTCCGGAAACCGACTAGCGTTCCTGGACGTTGATATCATCAGAAACACGAATGGGTCGTGCAGCAGAACAGTGTATAGGAAACCAACTTGGACTAGACATTACACCAACTTCTACAGTGCGGTACCACTACAGTACAAACGAAATGGAGACCGCACCCTTCCTTTCAGGTACACTGAATTTGCACACCGGACACCATCCCCAAGGAATTGCAGATAATCAATGACGCTCTAAGAACGAATTGGTGTCCAGGTAAATTCATCCTCAAACATTTGAGAGAATGCAAGATACCACCACCGAGGATGAGTGTACCCAAGAAGGAACTCATTACACACTTTCCTTACAAAGGCGGCAGTGCGGCTGATGCCCTGCCCAAACGCCTGAAAGACACTGTTGAAGAGACCTATTTCGCAGCTCGTCTACGCATACTATACTAGAACAAGTCTTTACTCACTAAGCCTTTGAAAGATAGGCTGCCTCCGTTGATTCGATCAACGCTTGCTTATCAGCACTCGTGCTCCTGTGGTGCATGATACGTGGGTCGTACTAAGAGGCGCCTGTTTCATAGGATTCGCAAACACCTTCCGAAGTGGTTTGACAAAGGCGAAGCGAGGTCTCGTAATATATCCATCTCGTCGCACCTCAGAATGCGGTAACGCAGGAACGGAAAACGATTTCAGCGTCATCTACACTATTCATGAGCGTTTCTCGCGCGGATTCCAGAAGCATCTCCCATCTACTGTGGATGCTACATATATCCGCCACCTCAAACCGGAGTTGTGCGTACAAAAGCAGTTTGTACCTCCTTTACTTCTACCGTGGCCTACAGCATCCTTTGATTTGTTTCAAAGCTAATCTTTTTTGTGAAAGTGATTTTCCCCTCTATATCATCTGTCACCTTCAGTGACCGCGTGATTTATTGGTTCCTTTCCGTTGGAATAAAAGATTCTAGTCAATACGCAACCCCATCCAGCACAGTTAACAGATAATCGAGATCATGTAAAATTATTCCGGTGATAATTGCCTAAAATAATTCTTTACTTATAATCTGCCTCCTTATGATGGATTCTAAATTACAGAAACAGAGCAGGCGCTTCGCAGTACGCTTGCGCTCTGGTTTAGGGCGAGAGCAGTCAAAACTACAATTGTTTTAAATGTTGCTTAAGCATCTGAATTAACTAGGTAGTAGCTAGTATGTCGCGTGAAAGCACACAATACTTTGACAGTGGCTGCGCTTAGACACTAAATGTCAGCAGCTAGATGGCGCAACGCGTGTGACCGACGCTTGCGCACAATTTTATCTCAAATAGCCGATGTGCGTTGACACGAAAAAGTAGTACATGTATACAGGATACTCCGAATTCAGATATTTTGAATATTTTCATCAGCCGTTAAGATACAGTCCATGTGATAGCCGTGTTGAAAGACCGCTCAAAGACATTCATTTTATATTTGAAAGAATCAAAGAAACTCATCAAGGCTAGGCGAGGGTCGTCATATACTTAGTCTGTTTGTATACACTGGGCTTCAACAGCCAAATTGCTGAAGCATCGGCAAACAGAAGCAAGCGAACGTTGCTCCATCGGTTTATTATCCCAAACAATTTGCGGGATCTTGGCATGTAGAACAATAGAGCGAACAGGCAGCTTGGGACTATTCGTGAGTATGTATTACGTGGGATGTGTTTAAAAATCCTGGCCGATAGACTTTTCGTGAGTTACAGCAGTATAACTAGACCAAGAGTAATTGGAATAATGTCAATCGCCCATAGATAAGTCAGTTACTCTTACCCAGGCCACACGTAATCTGACCTACGAATCCAAATTTGAACGGTGAAAAGACTGGGTTACTTCCACTGAACGGTTCCGGAAAGGACGACAGAGCTCCGATCACAGCAGCCCAAAAATCAGACTGTGGCTTCCGAACAAAGTGGATTACCGAGACAACAGAGACAGCGAACATGTGACATCGATTCAAGGACTGCCAACTGCTTAGATAAAACGGCTTCCGTTTGCATTAGGTGAACAACTGGACTCAGCAGAAAACAAACATAGAGCTACTCGACGTGTGCGTTATCTAAGATTCTGCTCCGGTTGGATAAACAAGACCTCTAGTTAACATAATGGACTTCGCATACCTTAACCTTCACTTCGGCGGACTTGTTTTCAAAGCATTCCTGCAAGAAGTCCGCATCAAGTTTGACTTGAACCACCTCGGACCAAATGGTGCACTTTTTCCAATCTTTTGGTGCTTCCTTCGGTTCTCTAGATCGGCTCATTACAGAGGAGAAAAACCGGCCACCAATTCCTTTACTATCAACGGCAGAATCGAGCTTGTCCCGACCGGCGGTGGTCTGCTTGGCGTTGGCGATGCATTTCAGATCCTTTGGCGACGGTTTCCATTCAGTCCAGTGTAGTTTAACTGTTTTTTTGGTTTTGGGAAGATCAGTGCCTGGAACTGGTGGTAAATTGAGCTGCGTCCCTGGAGAGGAAGTCGTACCCAAGGAGGGTGGAGGGGGCGGGGGCCCTGCTGCAAAGCAACCCAAGATTAGAGACACAGAGAAAAATAAGGATTGAATGGCGTGCTACGGAATCGATTCAATCGTTAAAATATGCCACTGAAGTAAAGGCAGTCGACGGTAGTGAGATCGGTGAGAACAGGAAAGGCCGTTTCATAAAAGCTAACAAAGCGCTGGTGAGGTAACTATTGATAGATTAACAGTTATAAAACACAAACGTATTTTACCAGTGTAAGCAGTGAATAACGGAGCGTCAACGAGAAGAGAGGACGGAAAAACTGTCACAAAATGTATACGTCAGTGACAAGACAAATCATGAACACTAGTAACAGGGTGAAAATTACACACGGATTCCGAATCGTCAAACAGATGCTTCTTCTAATCCCTATAAATAATCAAACGGATAAAGTGGGGAAAACGTTGAGAGTGAAACTGCATATTTGTACCGCGGTGCCTACATCTCAGAGCAAGCAGTGGTGACTGGTTCAGTGCGACGCGACACACAATTTCCAGGTCAGATGCACCAGCTATTGGAATTTCGCTATCCAACCAGCAGTTTTTCCAACGGACGCAATTTTCACTTGCAATCCACATAGGATGGTGCCTCCTAACATCATGCTTGTGTATTTTTCGCTAGTGATGGTGCACGTCAACACTGCCACAAGAGGTAGCATAAACTGATCCAGTGCATACCGGAGTTCATACAGCAGCTGTTTGGTCAGGCTGATCTGAGTTGAACTCAACAATCAATCACAAGCGCAACCATAGACTGCGTAGCGGGAACCACGTTAAATGCTTCGGAACGAGCCAAAGTGCTTCAACGCACAAAGCAGAGGCTTCAGTCCCGGACACCAAATAAGTACTTGACAGTTGCAAACCCGTGTTGATACAGGCGACGGAGACAAATGAGGACCCGACCAACTGCCTATTGCTACATTACGCACTATCACGTGGAGCAAATGGCACCAATAGAGTGAAGCGAAGTCGGTGAATAAAAACATCAGGATCTCCGAGATTTCCAGTTTCACAGCTGAGAAAACGGAGTACAGTCTTTACCGAGCAACACCAAAGAAGCGGCCAACGTTCCCTCGCATATGTTATGGAAACCCAGTGAATAAGCGTAATTAAAAGCTTGAAATCAATAAAGTTGGTTTGATCGCCGTTATACCGAGCAGTAAACGTTACGCAGGAAAGAGTTGCGTTGGATGCATTCCTAATCTCATGGAGAGGATGGTGCGTGAGAGAAAAGGACAACATAGAGACAGTGAGAAACATGATGACTGGGCTCCGTTCTTCCAAACGCAGGCGACAGCCTTTAAATGCTAGCGCGACCAACAGGGTACAGAACGAAACACAGCATGTGTACATGTACTAGATAGAAACACTCGCTGACCGACCACCAAGAAGCGATAAGCACGGTCAAATAACCAAGTAAAGAGGCAATCGAAACATGAGTTGGTGTCCAATACGGCGGGGTTTAGGTCGTTGAATTAACCGCGAGCTGACGGACATGTGTTGCATCGTTTGCTTATCTGTGTTTGCATCATAATCGAACTAACGATGATCAAGGTATACTTGCACAGTGGTGCAACAGGTTTACCCACTATGGCATTGCTCATGTTAATAATTTCTATTGGTGAAAACAAAGCCATGAAGCAGTCCTGATATTACACTCCGAACAATTCGGACACTGATCAAAAGGCTCATCTACACTGACGACAATGATGCAACCTGATCAGATGGACGCTAGAAGGCCAGTAACTGGAAGAACCAAGAAGAGGATATGGTGAATGATCAATGAAGTTAGTTCCATAACCTTCATAATATGGACAGGAAGCCGGCGTAATTCTTGCTAAAATAATTAGCAGTTGTATGCATTGCAGCTACGATGGAAAAAAAGCAAAGATAGCTACACAACTTCCCCAGGCATGTGCGCTAAGAATAACTTGAGTATCTTGGTTTCACTTATGAATACTGGATCTGTGGTGTAAACTAGAGATGGTCAGCATAGCCGCGGTCTACTCAAGTCTCTCAAGCATCCCGTAGAATGACAGACAACAGTTTCGTTCTATTGGGACACCTCAGTGACACGCACACTCCTCGGCTCCAACAGGAACCGAACACAAGCTATGGAGGATAGTGACTCATGCCATCAGTACATGAGTGGCGGTGGTGGACCGTGATTGCTGGTAGCTAACAATACTTAGCGCAGCCCATCCCCCACTACCAGGCCGCTTGCGTACCTAGTTGCCAAGTGGAAAGTGACAGCTCCAAAGGCCAAGTCTGTTCTCCGCGAAATTCGTAATGTACAAGGATATGGCTGATAACTGTCTATCATCACGGTATACTGCCGCCACCCAGTTCCCTTTAGCATAAGATACTAGAATTGTGAGACTATGAGTTCGACTCCTGGTGAAGTCGAGGGATGTGCACGTCACTGACGAATTCCAACAGGAGGAAATTATTGTCTAGCGCATTTCCAGATGCGCAGGAAACCAACCGGCTGGGAGATGTTTACATTTTAGCAGGCAATTTTGCGTACGTAGGCGACATTTTACCACATGAGCAAGGGTTAATTTAAGTACACAGCGCTTGGTTTTTAACTGCTGTTCTAAGCGGATTCAAACCTCATGACCACTTAGAGAGTCGCTGCTTGGAAGCGCGTAAACCAAGAGTAGCGGAACCAAAAATTGAAACAGCATGCCAGTGTCACACAAGGAACCATCTGCCATGCCCAGATGAATAGCTGTACTACCTGATGAAAGCCCGTAGGGAGGCGGTGGGAGGGCATTATCGCGTGTGGAAGGCGGCGGAGGTGGAGGAATGCCGCCAACGATTGCCGATGGAACAGGAGGAGGTATCGCGCCACCAATTGGCGCCGGTGATGGGAGGACAGGGACGCCTATTCTGGGATAGTGGGATGACAGAGGCCTTGGTTCTTCTTGGTCCTCTGGTTCCAGATCGGTGAAGTCGTAATCGCGTAGCCTAAGGGGTTTCCGCCTCACACGATCCAAACATCGTTCCCAAAACACATCAACATTGGACTCTGCGTCAGAAGTGACGACGGTGATTCCCGTGCTCAGTCCATTTTTGGTGTCCTGAATATGGAGGAAAAATGAACAAACGGACAGTGACAAAATGATCGCTTTTATGTTAGTGGGCTGAAGTAACCAAAAAGAGCGACATCTGATGCGCAAAAATGCACACGGACAATGCGCTAGGAGAACCAGTATAAAACTGTTTATTCAGTTCCGGAAGACAATTTGTTAGTTAAATAATTCATGGGTAAAGCTGTAACGAAATTAAGACAGACATATGTGAATCCCATTAGAACTGATTGAAAAGTGGTGGTCTGGGTAGCAGCCAGAGAAACAGACAGACAATTGATTGTGGTAACCAGAATACGTGCTGAAAAAAGCGAGAGGTGCAAAAAGAAGCAAAGCGCGACCGGAATCACAAAGTGCAAACGCTTTCGAGCTGTAGTTTCGAAACCGTCTGAGTTAATTCTGTCTGTGGTTGGCTTGGTTCCAGTCGAAGCAGTGTGCCTCTTCATTCACACGTGCTGAGACTAGTGAGGCGGCATAGTGCTTTTCACATGCTCTTTTGTGTTCCTGTATCCTTGTCGATAACTTCCTTCCTATTTGTCCCATAAAGTGTTTATTACAGTTTTTACAATTTACTTTGTACACAACATTTCGCCGTTCCCGAGCTTCCTGCTTTTCATTTGGGTTTGACGGTTTCTTTTTAGCTTGGCGATTAACTTGTGGGCTACTATGATGTGGTGCTCTTTAAGCAATCCGGCTGCTATTTCATTCACCTTTCTTACACAGTAAAACGATCCGCTTCCCTGTCGTTGACATCGGTTCAGTGTGTGGGCTTGCGATTTAAAGAATCACTGAAAAAGCTTCAGTAATCGAAGTAAATCACAGAGGAGGAACGAACAGGATGCAGGCCCGCGACTCTCACATGGTACAATTCTACGGGACTTCCAAAACTGCACAGAGGTGGTGCACCGTTACGAGCAATCGTGTGACTCCCAGTCACGCTCAAACACAACCTCGCAAAGTAAGTATGGAGACGCACCACATCATGGTGGGCCACAAGCCAATCGGTATTCAAAAAAGAACACTTCCAAACAAACGGAAAGCAGGGAGCTCAGGGACGGCAAAACGTTTCATACGAAAAATTGCAAAAACTGTTTTGGTGAAGATTCGTCGCAGCTAGACTCAAGCAGACAGCCACCATACAACCAAAAAAGCGCTAGACAGCCGTTTCGTTTTATTTTGGCTCATCAGTAGCACGCACTCGCCGAATCCTGCCGGATCCGAACCCACGACCTTACTCTTACGAGCCAGAAACTCATTCCACTAGGCCATAGGTGACGACAGCGGACCGCTATGACTGATATCTAACTGCGATATAACACGGCTCATGTTCCACTTTCATGCACGAAGGTACAGAGGACAGGGCTAGCTCCCAGAGCTACAACTTCTTTGCAAGTCACCCCCAGTCGAGGTGGCAAGTAAGCTGCTAAGGCGTTTACTGGGTTTATTGGGTTTTGGTGCAGATTCGTCCCCCTGTTACTTCGACTGGAACAAAGCAGATATCTTGACAGAAACAGGAACAAAAGGAAGGGAATCCCTCGAGACTTGGTACTCCACAAACAATTCAATCAATGTGCACATCAGTCCTTTATGCCAACTACTTAGACAGAATGAGCTCAGACGAAGTAACCAACCCGCTACCCGACCAATAAGCAGAACACTCGAAGTGAACCAGAATGCTGTCTCTCTACCTCTGGCACCCGCCACAACATTTTGGCAGCCTATGGCAATTTCCCAAGCACATGTGCGGAGCACTTTGAGTAACTAACCAGAACAAACCAAAAGCCTATATAAAGAATGGAGAAGTGCCTGGCGACATTCGTATCCGGAGTTGCCGCCTACTCCCATGCACTGGTGATGTCACCTCGACTGGGAACAAAACATTTGCAAACAAATTGCCCAGCTCGGCGAACACCACAGTAACTTAACACCCCACTCAAGCTAATAGCATGGAGCTAGCTCTCATTTAAAATGATCCAAAACGCTATGTTAAGAAGTGATGTCAAGGCATTTTAACGGAGACAGTTTTTATCCCATGCTCGCGAAGTTGAGAAAAGGCGATTTAGTTCGGATCAATCAGTCCATCAAAGGGGACACGACTGTTGAAAACACAGCAAGGATTAGCAAAGCATGAATTATTTTGTTACAAATTCTGATACTTTCACATCGGAAACAATCTGATGGGCAGATGGCATAAGCATGTGGCAAACCAATTAGAGAACGGAGAGCAATTCGAATTAGCGGACAAACCTTACGAGCAGGAGAAGCTGGTGCAGGTGCGCTCGGAGGCTTGGATGAAAAGCTTGCTTCGAATCGCTCCTTCGCGGACATAATCATACCAGTGCGCTCGCGAGGGGGTGGTGCTTTAACTGAGTCTTCTGGCTATCAAAGAGAATAGATGATCAAAGGTAAAGTAACTATGTGAGGGAACTGATTATCTGTTAAATTTGCGACGATATTTTGGGGTAAAAAAAGCGTTCGAAACTTCCGTAGGGTCTCAAGCTTAGAGTATGTGGGCAATATTAGTCACGGAAATTCTATTGGGAGCGTAACCATTGCGATCTGTTAGGAATTGCTCATCGTGTGGAACTATAGCGCAGTTACGTCATTAAAGTAAGCTATCCGTACCAAAACATGTAGAAGAGGAATGTGTTGAATTCCGGGAGAAAAAGGGACTTTGATGTGGTGGGACGAGATCGTAAGATCAATCGCACACAGTAATCCGTGCGGGCAGGTGCGAGTCGAACAATATGGCTGCAAACGTCCGTACAGAGGAAAAAGGTGTGGGAGTAAAAAAAGAGAAGGCAGTGTTGAGCGCAACGGAAGTGTTCACCTACCTTACAACAGTTATCCAACACGTCAGCGATACGCAGCGAAGTCAAAGTTATCAAGGCAACCGCGGTATACTGACATTTTAGTTCGAAACCTTCCACAAAACACTCGATGTTGATAGAGCTAGGCGGAGCAATCGGATAACAGGTTACGTAAGGAGTTACCGACTCCGCTTGATTAAGAGAATCACGCTCAACAAGTATCGTCGAGAGCCCATAAGAGTTGTGCATTAACGCCCTGCATTTGGGTCACCCTTCCATGACAATATCACCAGACCGAACAAAAAAAATTTCGATTAGCGTAGTGGGGTTAGAAGGTACCAAGCAGTGGAATCTTCATGCCGCAGCATTTCCGCTGGTTAGAGATGGGGGTCTGAGTATGGAAAAACCAAGACATTGGCAGACGGAGCACTAACAAGGTCGACAAGGCTACTCACCCGTAATGCGCAAGGCCCAGAGAAACGCTGTGAAGCGAAACAATCAGTCACATATCTTATAAAGACTAAAAGTTGGCGGACTACGAGTTGATAATGCCAACGGGCCAACCGGAATAAGCTTACCTTTTCCATAATCGCAGCATGCATTTCCTTCAGAGCCTTCACGCCACCCGAGGGGGATACGGGAGCATGGGTGGGACTGGTTTCCATTGGTGGCCTTTGACTAGCTTTGCCAAGAGCCTCAATTTTACTTTTCAATGAACCCACTGGTGGCGTCTCCGGGACGGTGACTGCCTTCCCACGGATCTCCTCATCGGTAGCTGGGAAAAAATTAAAGTGAAAAGCCAATGATTTGTCGAAAATAGGAATAAATGTGCTCAACGCCCACCCATCTGAAAACTCAATTACTGGTCACATACAAAGCAAACTGGATAAATATGGCCCATAGACTTGCAGATGTCGGAAAGTTGTCGTAACCCATGCACAAAGAACGCATATGAAATGGAACTGACATGCAGGCGAACGGAGCAAAGATATGACAACGATGAACATGGGAGGACAAACAGGTAGACACTTATGGATCGCACTGGTACAGAGAGCGTCATTACCTGAAAGACTCTAAAAACAAAAAAGTTGGCAGAATGCAAAACAGAATGTAGTGTGCAAACCGGCATGCCTCCTCTGTGCAGTATTCAGGTTTTAAATAAACAAATAATCGTGTATATTTACCGACAAACGGTACACGGCTCCATAAGCGGGAGCGAGCATTTGTATAGTGAATAGATTTCATGGTTTATGCGGCGTAAACCATAATAGTAAAGGAAAGTTATATAATAGAGTTTCGGATCATGATTTTTTTCCTCGGGTCCCAGATCTGAGCACCTAATAGGTAAAAACTACCGATAGTTGTATCATCATTTTCCAGTTTGTGGGGCTCAGGAGTAGATGATAAAAGAGAGGGGACACTAGGTTGCACAGACACAGGTTTGGTACTGTAGGTAATGACATGTAGTGGGTAAGCTAGTTGTAAGCGAATATTTGCTCATATGTTTTTAGACCAGCTTCTGTCAATGTTTCTAGAGTTTGCTGTGAGTCAAAGATCTTCAACACATTTGATATAGTGAGGAACGTAAGAAGAGTTTTGAAATGTGACATTGCTTGCACTCATGCGTATCTGTAGGGGTAGTTTGTTCCACAGATCAGTATATCTCACTAAGAAGAAATTCGATCGAGTTTTATGACTTGCAAGCTTTGTGCGTAGCAAATAGCAGACATTACATGTGAGGTAGACTGCAGTCTTTCGTAGTTCAAGTGCGGTGCTGTCTGCGTAAATGCACTGGTTTACAATGCTGTAGAAGAGAACGAAGTGGTTCTTTAAGCGTGTCAACCAAAGAGGATCCAGTTGGAGTTTTCGACAGCAATCATAATAACTCAGGTTTGAGCCGCGCCCCATGACCAGCTTGGTAAATGATCGTTGAACATTTTCTAGAGCCGTTCTGTCTTTCTTTCTCAATTGGTTGTGAACGATAGTACAGTATTCCAGAGTCGGTCGTACTATTGTCTTGAATGACTCAAGTCGTGCACCAGGTAGGGAGAAAATTTTGGTGATATATCCGCATAACTGCCTTGCTTTCGCAACCTGATAAAGCACAGGCTCGGGGAAACTGAAAGAATTGGAGTACCTAATGCCCAAGTTCCGAACTAAATCAGAAGTTAGGATCACATTTCCGGCAAGTGAGATACAGCCTTCTGGGAAGCGGCATCTGTACCCAGGTACTCGGGATTTCACTGCGGAGAACTTCATTAATAAACGTTCAGTAGCTACAGTTAATGCGGGTAGGTCTTCACAGATGTTTCCCAGGCATATTTGTAGTTGGTTGATGAAATGAGTAGATCAATTTGACATCATCTGCAAACAGAAATGGGTGTCCATGTTTGATCGGGTCGCATATATTGTTTACGTAGATTAGGAAAAGTAGTGGTCCGAGCACACTTCCCTGGAAGACGCCGCCGATTATTTGTTTCGGTGTAGAATATTGAGGACCGATTTTAACTACGTGGGTTCGACCGTTTAGATACGAGTCCAACCAGTTTAGCAGAGGATTTCCAATTCCATATGACTCTAGAGCAGACCGCAGTGGCTTGTGCGGCACGCGGTCGAACGCCTTTCGCATGTCCAACAGCATTATAATAATTGCCATTCCTCTGTCAATCATAGTTGTGACGTGATCGAGAAATGGTAGCTGGCAGGTAACGCAGGAGCGTTTTGAGAGAAAGCCATGCTGTGAGGGGTTGATCAGATCCAGTATTGTAAGATATTGAACGATGTTCTTCTTGATTATTATCTCTAGGGATTTGGAAGCAGCGGTGTGATTTATTGGGCGCTTGACACTTTATTTCTCGGGCCACCCTTGTGGTTAATCATTTTAATGAACTGCTTCTATTGAGTTGGAAAGCAGACGGTAGTGAGAGAAAGTGTGAAGATGTTTAATAACAGTAGAGCGAGGTTTTTCCTCCGATTTTTTAGAACATTTGGGGAGATGCCATCTGGGCCTGGACGCGTTGATGGTTTTATGGATGCGATGGCACTTTGCACCTCTATTAACGTCATGGGGATATTGCAGTATAGCTCGGTCGTTCTTTTTGGAAGTGGAGGAGGAAATGGCTGAGTGTTGGGGACAAAACAGGAGGCAAAACTAGATTTCATGGCCTCGCATATGCAGGAGATGTCGCGCGTTATTGAACCATCGTCTAGTGTCAACGTTTCCATTTGCTGAGGGGGTTTAGGGTTTCTTCTATTGTGCATTTGCATTAATATACGTACTTTCTCAGGATTTCTAAGTACCAGACTTTCTTTGATCTTGGCCGTTTGGGTTAGACGTTGTAGATGTAGCAGATTCTTCTGTATTTGTGCAATCTAGCGAGCCTTTTGTTCCTGCTATGTAGCGATTTAAGTTTCTTTAGTTTGTTTGTGGCTTTGTACAGAAGCTTGAGTTCACCACTATGTTCATGGGTATTTCTCCATGCAATAGGTGCCAGTAGATGCGCACCACGGGCAATGTTGTTAATAAACTCATTTCTAGCCACAGTAGGGTTATGAGTTAGGAATGACCTATTCCAATTCATGGTACTGATAAGTTCATTAAATGAGTTCCAGTCCACACGAGGGAGGTTGCGAATGGGTTTTAGCATTTTATGTGGTCGTTTAGGTGAATCAATAGTCATATCACAAAGCATCGTGTTGTGATCACAGCCAGGTAGTGGATTCTCAATAAATAAATAAGCGTACGAGATCCCCATCGTGAATACAAGGTCTAAGGTAGTGGCACTTCCGGTTGGCTCTCTAACATGCTGAGTCCAACCATTGAAGTGAATACATGAGATGATTTCCTCGTTCCCCGTAGTCTTTCTCAGTGTAGGCAACATCCAGTTAACGTGCGGTAGCTTGAAATCTCCACACATAATTTTGGATTTGTATGTGGTGCTGGAAGCAGCATTGATCATATTGATTAGCTTTTGAGTTTCACATTGAGTGCTTCGGGGTGGCCGATAGATACAACCCACTAAAAGATCGGTAGATGGGATCACTAGCCATAGTATATCTTCTAAATCATTTAGCCCAGATTTATCTACGTAAATTGCAGTCAGGTCATTTCGAAGACATACGGCACAGCCACCACCACGTTTGTGTGAGCGATCCTTGCGGAAAAGTTTATAGCCTAAGATGTTAAGCTGAGAATCACTAATTTCTGATGTGCACCAAGTTTCAGTGATAAAAGCAATATCAGGGGATCTCATACACACAAGTGCTGGAAGCAGAGCTAATTTAGGTAAAAGAAAACGAATGTTGATGACGACAGAGTTGAAAGACGTTGTTAAGTTGGAATAAAAGTAGTGGGTAATGTTTGTTTCTTCGTCATTGTATTTAAGAACTGTGTGTTGTGAGGTAGCAGGAGCACACTGAGCTTTACTTCGTACTGGATTGCCTGAAGTAAATACTCCAGTAGTTTGATTATTCTCTGATTCAGAATCGCACGTGATAAGGGCTGGATTGGTGGGGGAGGATGTGATGATATACGATAGTCTAAGAAAGGACGTACATCCTCAGTATACAGGGGTGGGGGGATGCTGAAGTCTACAAAATCGTTTTTCTTCGGATTGTATTGTTACCAATTGAGTAATACAGGGGGTGGTGGTGGGTGACTTTTACTTGAGGTAGATAGGGGTTGCACCCTCTTACCTGTAAGTCCGTGTGGCCTATCACCATTTTGTTTGCTATTTCGATGTCGCGTACATAAGGGTTTTGCCAGCTTGAGGTTGCGGGATTTGGAATCATAGTCAGAGACATTGTGGGTAAGTATTAGGCCAGCTCTCTGCGACTTATCCGGACAACAGTGTTGGTGTTGCATGTGGAAGCTTGAGGATGTACACTTTCTCAGTTGGCCTAGCTGTATATCTCTACATTCTTGTGGTGGTCACTTCAGATCTACCGAGCTTTTAGTGTTTATGGGAGAAATTCTGGCGGGGTGTTTTCCCCTGTTATTGCCTACTCCTCGCTGTGTTGGAGATAAGTCATGGCTTAGTTCATTCGAGTTGGATTTAGATTTGTTTTTCGTGATGCCAACGTGACGATCTGAGTTTTGGTCTCGCTCTTGATAGGTCTCAGGTACAGTTACTGTCAACTTTTGTAAAGACTCTCGGCTTTGAGAAGGGACAAAAGACTTGAGTGTGTAGTCAGCAGATGTTTCCCGCGTCATTATATTTTCAGCTTGTTTGGCATTTTTAGGTACGGACACATCACTACTGCTATTTGTGAACCTCTCATGAGGCCGCTGAAGACTGAGATGCCCGTCATCGCCTATTTTAGACGACGCGGTTGACTTATCAAGGTCGACATTGCTGATGACAGCATCAGTACCGGCTTCATTAGTGGGAACATGGGGTGTATGATGGGCGGAGTGGTTTAGTTCCATTGTTAGTCGCCTTCGAAGAGGCGTTTGATCGTGCTTGATCATAATCTTTTATAAATACTTTGTGCAACAACTAGCCTTTTATTGCGTACGAATTTGGAAGCGTTCCTATCGTCTGGAAACTGCAGGAGTGTCGGACATGCAGTCATGTTTTCGTTTTTCCTCAGTCTGAGGCAGTGACAGGAAACTCCATCTATTTTCAAGCTTTTATGAGGGTATTTGTCACTCTGTCGATGTTCGGTTTATCAGGCACGTTAAAAATGAGAACATTATGCGATCTACGGAGGCATTCTTGCGTTTCGGATGTAATTGCGTCAAGTAAGGAAGCAGCTGTGCTCAATCGGTCTAGTGTAACAATTGCTGAACCTCCAAGAAGTTCACAGAGTGAAAAAACGTGTTCATAGTATGTGCTAAATTCATGATTGCTTTTCAACATGACTATTTCTTCCTCAAGAACAATAATCCGGCCTGTCGTCTCAGTCGGAATTGCGGTATTAAAGTTGGAGTGGTTCGCAGCTACACCCAA